GAAAAGGGGTACCACAGCCTCGGCCGCAATGGTGACCTTGTGTTTCTGCAATCTTGGTGGTGCTACATGAGGAGGAGCAGTTGGTGGCTTTTGTCGCCTCTGACCTCTTTCACATGTGGTTTGCATGACAAAAGCCCAGGGCAAGTTACAGCCAGAGAGCAGGGACAGGCAAACCCTTGCCTAGGGAAGTGCATCCCGCAGAGAGGGGCAGCCTGTAGTGTCTGATTGGACAAGCAGTTAACCGTTTTTTGCCTCTTCCTCCTTTTGCAGATACCCACTGTACGTGATTCATTGCTTGTGCTCCACTCGTCAGCATTTCTTCTCCAACAAAACGGAGGCTTGCCAAGCTGGGGCACACTTAAATGTCAAAGATCTGGACAGCTTTGGCAAGCTGCCTGCATCTGGTACATTTACATAGAATCATACAATCATGAATCATAGAATGGTTCCCTTCATGTGTCTGCATGGGTATCTGCAATTAGCGCCTCTTGCTGAGTGATCACTTCCTAAGTGATGGCTCTGAGGGCTGAGCACACTTGAGGCAGGAGAGTGGCATCGGCTTCCGAGCTACAGTAACCTAAACAGCCCACACTGCTGCTTGTTGTGAGCACCATGCAGTGCAGAGCAGCTCTCGGGACCTGGTGGATGTTTCTCCTAAACATTGTTAGCATTTTGACTTGCAGTAAGTGGGCTTCTGTGAAGCTGCCCAAGTGAGCCGAAAGGGTGCAGTCCCAGCACTTGCAGAACCCACTTTGTGAACTATGTGGTGAGGGCCAGAAACACCTGTGAAAGAACTAGCCTTTGGCAATCATCTCATGTCCAGACATGAAGAGACCAGGGAACACCTGATGGTGAAGACTTAAATATCCATTGAATAAATAATATCTTTATTAAAAATAAAAAGCCAGCCGAAAATACCCTGACACTAATGCGACCTCAATGGCAGAAAGATGGCCACATCCAGATATTCAGAGTTAGAGGAGATATTGCAACAGGAACAAGATGCTCCACGGACAGCACACATCATCTCTGTTCTTCCCATACTTGTGGAAGTTAATGTATTAACCCTAAGACATTGCACACGAGGTATAACAACAACAGCACATTTTCAATAAAATGTTCTGCGATTTTTGCTGTTTAACCCCCTAAATGCTTTCATTCCAAATGTTAGTAGTAAACAAACTGTACAAAGAGCCTGTAGTGTGAGGGTGTGAGAGGTCATGCTGTCCAGCAACTGCAGGTGAGAGGATAGGGCGTGCCATGAAACGACCAGGCAACGAATGCTACAGCGTGCTGTCATGAAAGCCAAGCTGAGATGTAAGATGTGGTTCCTGACCTACTCTTACAGTAAATTTGGGTTTCTGAAGGAATGAGGGCAACATGACAGGAAGTAAAGAGCTGAGTAAATCTAAATGAGTGGTTTGTACTGGATATTGGGGTTCAGCCTATGCAAACTGCTGGAATTTGTGGCTAAAGAGTATCAGATTTTCCTTATAAATAAAACAAAAAGCTTCAATAATTTTGACATCTGAGCTCTCCAAATCCGAACATTGTAGCTTATAGTGCCTAAGGAATTTGTGTGCTGCATCCAGGCTTTACATTGGTTTACCTTGGCTTTTTGAGGACCTGTTTACCTGTCCTTTCACCCCACTCCACTACAGTTTGAGCCTGTAAAAGAAAGGAACAAGAATCTCTCAGTATAATACCTATCTGCATCTGTCTGCTCACATTGCTAGGGTAAGGTGAGGTTAAATTTGTCTCTCTAATTTGTCAGTTGATTCCCCTTCATTAGAAAGTGTCTGCATTTCAGTGCTCTTGTACCCAATGGTTTACAGGATTTTCGTGCCTGTAATGTGCACAATGCTTAGCAACCTGGCAGGGAAAGCTCCTTGCAAGTTTTAACAGTACATCAGTTAAATTAATGTCATTTCCTTTCCCTTCCCTGGGTTTGTTACCCGGGAGTTGTTGCTGCAGTAACTTGGCCTCAGGATACACAGCAATTAAAACTATGGGTGGTTGCACTGCAGGAAGATAATGCCCCAGGAAGACTGCTTCACAGAGGTGTTTTTAGGATACAATTTGATGAGAACTTTTTGGCAGGAGAACCAACCTATGCCATTTTTTTACTTGACTTCAGCGTGGTTAGTACAACTTTTTGTAGATATACACAATAAAGTTAATCTGGTTATTTTTAATCTACATTTGTGTCTATATTTGCTTCAGGTTTAGTCAAGCAAAGTGTACCAGCACAGAGAGGGAAATTATAGTGGTGGCTTGGGGCAAGCTGGTACAGCTGTTGAAAAAACACTTGCCAACCTGTAGGTGCAGCACAGCCTTAAGCATTAGTTTAGGACCTCTTTTCCCTGTTGGGAGAAAAGTGACCATAGCCATTTGGAAATGCTTACAGTGCTGATAAAGAACCATCAGTGGCATTCAGCTAATTTTTGTGGTGCGTGGCTTTTTCCTCCCTCACACTGCTCTTCCCTGCTTGCCACTCTGACACACGGCTTTGTGAACACAAGCAAGACTGGGGCTTAATGTCAACATCACAGTATGCTAGTTCTGCAACAACTTGTAGTAAAGCTGTAGAAGGAGAGCTACCAAGTGTTGCATGCTAGGGAATTAACAGATTGCTGTCTACTATTACAGCTCTGTCTTTGCAGTGCGCTCTGCATGGAGAGCAGAGCATGGGCTTTCTGTAACTAAAGACCCTCTTGGAAATTAGACTGGGTACTGAGAAGCGCAGTACCATGCCGGCCATATTCTGTATGCCTAGTTGTCACCTAGGCAGCTCCTGAACACACTGATGTGATGCACTATGGGGCATGCCATGATTTTGCACACCCTTGTTACGAAAAGTGACAACCTTCTTATGATCCTGCTTCTCAGATACTAGTTATTCAATTAAGAATCTTTCTTTAATAAATGCTCCAGTTACAGAATAAGCCATCTTCTATGTTCTCTGCTACAGTGGATCCTTTGAACCAAGCAGGGTCATCTTTGATGTATTAGCCACATTTCAGTTAAAGGCTACTTTTGGTCTGTATCAGACTTAAGTACATGCTTTAAAGAGGGATCCGTGAGGAATCTAAGAATTGTCAAGGGGAAAGCTTCTATAGGTAACGAGACAGACTGCAGCAGCAGCATCTGAGGTTTGATGCAGCTGCTACAGAACTGCAGTTAGGACAACAGGGTCAATTTTCCTGCTAGTGTCACGCTCACGTAGCAGCTAAATTCCCTCCACACTCACAGCTTCCAATTACTGGCAGCTAGCTTTACTTCTCATTACATTAGACAATGAAAAAAGATGCATACTTGTATAGAGTTATCTTGTCACCACTGCAATGAGTAGCCTTTGAGCAGGGTCTAACATAAAGATTCTAGGGAAGGTCTTGAAAGAAAGCAGTTTAATAGAAGATTACACAAAAATCAAACTACAGTGAGAACAAACGTGCTGAGTAACATGCACACTAACCCACAAGTCACAGCAGCTTTAAAACCGTGATGGTCCACTCTCAATTCCAGGTGGGAAAAGTCACCTTGTACTAGTTACTTCCCTTCTCTGTAACTTTGCAGAGCACTTGAAGTTCAGTCTGTGTAAGATACACTATTTCTGCATTGCAGAAGATACCCCTTACTATGGAAGCCCAACAGACAGATGGAACTATGTCATCTTCAGGATCTTCACCACCAACATGCTGTTAACAGCTTCATCAGAATACCCATGACAGACCACTCTCACAGTTCCCCATCTGGAAGGAATGCACACCATAATGGTTTGGAGGGAGTCCAGCAAGGCCAAGAGCACAGTGGAAGACAGTTAGGAACTCCCTCTTTGTCACAGCCGTACTATCCAAGTGCACAAAGAGGGGGCCCTCTCCTTGTGGCTGTGCTGCCACATAGATGTGGAGAGCTTCAACAGGACATACCCACATCTCTTTATAGAATCTCAGTTGGATCAAATTCCTCTGTCGGCCCATATAGGATGTATGCAAACAAAGGTTTGCATTGCCTGCAGTCAGCTGGAGGTCACTCAAGTACAGGAGCTCTGGCTGCACTCTATGTCAGTGATTTGGCACCATCTCTTCTATACAGAGTGCACCCAAAAAAAGCCATAGTAAACATGGCGCAGAGCAATAAACACTCATAAGGAGAGCTACACACAGATTCCAGAGTCCCCAGCAGAGACCTTAACACTTCAATAGTTACAGGAGAGTACTGATTATTTGAAGGGCCAGTCCTATGTTGCTGGGGTCCCTGCCCTGCTGTGTTCAACGGGTGAGAGACAGGGCCAGTGTCCGGTCCACCCTCCCGGCTGCCTACCAGAGCAAGGCTCTATGAAAACATCCTAAAGTAGATGAGGACGCACAGGGGAATACCAAGTCAAAAGCTCAAGATGTCGGCTGTGGAGCCTGCTCACTTTGTTTTCTGTCTTGGATATCATCAGTGATAGCTGCCACGGGAGGGTAGCTATCTCATTAAGCTGAGCACAAACATCTAGGTATGCTATCTGTAATTAACAGCGATGAATGAGTAGTTCAGAGCAATCAGCTGCCCTGAGCTGTTCTACAAGAAGATGCAGAAAACCACATCTTGGAGAACCAAGGAGAACAATGGGTGAGGAACACAAGTACTTCTCTCTTCTTTTAACCTTATCAGTAATTCTATCCGTATTTCAGACTCTGATAAGGAATAATGCAACAAATACCTGTGCTTCAAGCCTTTCAATTCGCTGGCGGAGCCCGGCTCCTCACAGCTCCACCCGTCGTTAGCGGCCGCTTCACACCCGCCCCGCCCCGGTCCGCGCCTGCGGCCCGGTAGGGACTGCATGGGGCGGGCAGGCAATGGCAGCGCTCCGGCTGCAGGAGGGCACTGGAGCGGCTCCGCGGCTATAAAAGGGCCCGTGGCGGTGGCTGTAGCAGTTTTCGTGTAGCTGTGAGCGGTGTGGTTGTGGCGCTTCGTCTGCTCCTGTGATGTCCTACAGCGGCGGCGCTGCTGCTGCTGGGCCTCTTGTTGGGCCTTTCTGGGAGATGTTGGCGCTGCTGGCCCAGGAACCGGGCATAGAATGGCTGGAGCGGGCCCTTGCTGGGCAAGCAGACCCCTTCTCGCGTGGCGGCCAAGGAGCAGCACGCAGGACGGTGGCGGTGGTGCGTCCAGGCGGCTCCCGGCAGTGCGGGGAGCGCGGCAGCTCGGGGATCGGTAGGTGTGCGCTGTCCTCAGCGTGGGGTTGCCTGCATGTGTGGCGGTGGTGGCGCTCGGTGTCTGCCGCATCCCCTGTATCCAGGGGCTGGCCTGTGGCTCTGCATGGGGAGTGAGTGGTGGCCGAGGCTCCCGCCAGGCTGCATTTCCTTGGGTTTACTACAGTTCTTGTGCGGGGCTGGAGCTTTTAGAAGGAGGCTTCGAGGGAGTTCCCTTCCTGGGCTGAGGGACGTGCCACTTTTTGGCGGGAGTGTGGTATGCTCCCTTTGCAGTTGACTTCTATAAGCCATACTGAGAAGCCTTGGTTTTAAATTTGTGTTTTGCTTGTCTTCTCTATTGCTACTCTACAAAGTTGTAAATTCCCAGAGTGTTACCAGATCTAGTGCCTGAATGGACCTGGTATGTTGTTTTTAGTTTCCAGTTTGCAAAATGTCTCAGCTCTGGATGTAGCTGTGTGTGGATTGTTTTTAATCAGATGAACAAGGGGAGCATTGTCTAAGGAGCACTGTGTTTATTGCTGCTTTAAATGTCATGCTTGTGCTTGTCAGCATGTGCTAATGTGGACCCTCTCTTTCAGGGAGGGAATTCAGCTGCTCTCAGAAACATTCATTGGGACCTTGGCCTCTGAAGACTTTGTCATTGTTGGAGTGTTCAGGGGATGGTAGGTTTTGGCAAGCCTGCCTCGAAGGACTGAAGAAATTCCTTGTCTATAGGAGAAGCATGGGAATGCCTGCAGCCTGGCCAATTCCAAAGGAGCAAGTTAGAGGATTTTTAACTGTGGAGTCTCTTTATTCACCCTCAAAGGCACTGGTGTATGTGGCAGGACTGGCTTATTTATCAAAATTGACTGGTAACTCTGATCCTCTGGGGGATCCTATCATACATTTCATGGTGATAGGCCTGAAACGTCAAGCAGGCATCCTGAGAGATAAATACTTGCCTGTAACAATTGAGGTGTTGCGATCTCTCTTGGGTGCTCTGGAGTCTGTATGCATAACTCATTATGAATGTTTACTGTTTCGTGCATTATTTACTGTAGCTTTTTTTGGGGCACTTCGAATAGGAGAGATGGTTGCAAAGCACCGTGGTGTACTGCAGCCTGAGCTACTGCACCTGAGTGACCTCCAGCTGATGGAGAGGAGAGTGGCGTTTCATTTGCGTAACTCTCCTGTGGGTCAGGAGAGACATGTCATCAGCCTTGGGCTGTCTGAAGAGCCGTGGGTGTGCCCTGTTCTGGCTGTCCAGAACTACATGATAGTTCGTTCACAGCTGGAAGGGCCACTCTTTATCCACTTGGATAATACAACTGTAACAAAGAGAGACTTCCTGACTGTCCTTCGAGGGGCCCTGCAGCTGCTGGGGCTGTGCCCAGAGCAGTATGGTGTGCATTCCTTCTGGCTGGGGACTGCTGTCACTGCTGCATGCTGCGGGTATCCATGGGAAGATGTAACTCGCCTGGCAAGATGGCCCTGTATGGTCCTAGACAGACCATAGCTTTGGAGATGGACAGGAAAACAGAAGCTAATGAATTACCTTCTTTCTCTAGAGTTAACTGCATGGTTTCTAGTCTTTGGCATTAACACCTGTAACAAACTCATCTACCTCACAGGAGGATGATCTCTGAAGTTTGCTCACAGTGGCTGCTTGTGCTGTGCGTGGACCTTGTCTCTGTCTTGACAGAACAAGTCTTCAGGCAGTTTTATCTTGTATAGTGTGAATTAATAAATGTTACCTTTTTAAAAATAGTCTTTACCTGCTAATATTGTTGCTTTTTGCCCAGAAGAAATTTGCTTTGAGAGCAATGAATGATGAGCAGGCTCTGAAGAGAAACTCTAAAATGGGAGGGAATTAAATTGCAGTATGTTTTTGTGTAGCTGTACACTTTTTAACGCTAACATGTCACTGAGGTTAAAAGAGAAATATAAGCTATATTATTAGCCCAATAACAGACAGCAAAGGATAAGCTTTTTAAAACATTGATAATCATAAGATGTTCAAAGTGATATCTGGTACTGTTTAAATGGGGGACAGCAGCCTTTATATTCAGCAAACTCTGCCTCCAAAAATATTTCATTTAATCCTCTAGGTAAATTCCCTCTGAACATAATTAGCCTAATCAGCATTTTAAATAACAAAATAGCACATGGTTCGCTTAATGATTTCCTTAGGATGTGATACTGTTCCTAATTCAACCTGTTCTTTTTCTTAAATTTTAAGCTATTTAAGATTGAGGAGTTGTTAACCACAATCATAAAGTACAATGTTTTGAGTACTCTACAATTTTGCAATTATAACATTTGTAATATTTTTATAGCATGTGGTGGAATATATTTTTCACCATATGGCTGGGCTGGGGAGAGAGTTGGTGGATCACAGTACCCTAGCTGAGAACTATGGTGATCAAGATTTTTATCACCCTTATTACTATCACTGATCCAAACCTGGACCATGATTGTTGCTAAATGGGCTGACTTTGTGTCTTGCTCTGACCTTATACCCTTTTTCCAACAAAGCTATGGACCACAGAATTGTGGGAGCTAGCTGAAATCTAATGCTGGCTTGATCTCCACGTGGCTAATTAGCTGTGATTTCTGAGACTTTTGATTAGAAAAAATTAACGTTATCTATGTAGGGCAGTGCCAATCTGCTGTTCTGTGCTGAGAGTGGCATTGTGTTCCATGGGGGAATTGACTATGGTGCAGTAAGACTTGTGGCTATGACTGTATTTGAAATCTCTGTTCTAACTGCGTTTCAGCTAAAAGCTTTTTTTCTTTTTGCGGCTTTGTTCACTATATATGCTTGTTTATACAGTCACTTCTGCTTCTGTGCATGAAATCTGCGTGTAGCTAGAGCTAAGGTGGTACAAATGTAGCATCTGCTCAGGGGCTTATCCTGAAGTGCCCACCAGCTGTTGGTTAGACTGAACAGACACTTGGAACATACCTGCATAAGGAATTGCTTTGTGCTCTGCAGAAGCCTTGATGGATTTTTGCTGTCCTTGGGTATGATGTGTCTGCTCATTAGCTTGTGCTTGTACCCAGGCATGCCAACTTCTAGTACTGTCTTTTGCCTTGCTGTGAAAAGACCTATGTATTGCCTATATGTAGCATGGTTTTGGTTTGTTTTAATTGGCAATAAATTAGTTTTTCCCAGGTTCAGTCTGTCTTGCTTGTGACAGTAATTGAGTGATCTCCCCATCTTTAGCCCTCATATAAGTAGATCAAAGTAGGTGCACCATTGTGGCAGACCTGGGAGGTATCAAAATTAACTGGGTACAAAACCAGATCAGTGGATGTGCCTGACCATTTAACTTCTTGCTAGGATTTTTTAATTGTTTTCAGCCATAAACTGTGCTTCCCAAATGGGGACACAAGAAAGTCTTGCAAATATTTTTTATAGTGTAAATGGATATTCTAGTAAGACAGGAACAGCTGTATTGTGTAATATACATGCTATTTTTAAAGCTTAGAGGTATGCTTTAAGTCTGCTTTCTGGGGACCCTGGTATTTGGCAAATAAATGCTGTGATGATTGTTCTACAATACTGGGAAAATGTGTGTCTGTCTTATCTGTAATTTCTATGTTTGTGTGATATATGAAGCAAGAAAAAATAACCTTTGTTCTTATTTCTACCTACATTCTATGTTTTTGTGATATATGAAGCAAGAGAGAATAACCTTTGCTCTTATTTCTACCTGCATTCTGTGGGTGTAGCTAGAGATTCTGGTCTTGTATCCATTTAAATGAAAGTACAGTCTAGGAAGCAGCTGGAGGGATTGAGGATGAAGAATCAACTATAGTTATCAACTTTACTGAGTTTTGATCTCAGCATTGGGAAGAAGAGAAATGTGTTTTTAAGGAACAGCCATTACTGAAGTTAGCAGCTTTTTTAAAATCGTTATTTTGATAGGCTGGCTGGCATATTTTTTGATAACAGGGTTATAGATGCAGTGCTCAATCTGTAATTTCTTGTTGGAGCTATAGGTCACCTTTTACATGGCAAACTAAACTGAGACAGCTGGTAAGTAAATAAAACCTGTCTTCTGCATGTTAGAAGTTTAGTGTCTCATCAGCTCAGAATCGTAAAATAGTTCTCTTTAACAAATTTATATTTGCAGAGTCTTTCTATTTAGCTGTTTCAATGATCCTGAATAGAAGCAGAAGAGGATATAAGGTATTTACTTTAAGAAGCAAAATGGGGAATTACTTCAACTCACAATTCTTTCTTACAATGTTAATTATTTCACACATTTTTATCATGTTAAAGTGAAAGGCTGAGCATACTGACTTCAGGAAGAGCTAAATTACTCTTGTATTACTGATCACTGTCTGCTATGGGAATTCACTGTATTATGTAAAGAGAATGGTGAATTTGCTGAATTGTTATTCATGTGGAAGCTTACAATTTCTACAATATATAATTGTTAAATTTAACTCATTAGACTATTTTCAAGAATAAAGGGAAAGTGATTATTTTTTTTTAAACCACCAAACTTTCTTTGTACAACTGGTTGGTATGCTTTTGACTCTATTCTGATTGTGATGCTTATGTCAAATACATAGTCTTTAGAATGACAGAAATAATATTGCCCATTAATTACTACAGTACTAATTAATCAAATATAAAGCATATGTCCTCACACAGCTAAAACTTTCACTGTTGAAATGATACCTCAGAGTGTGTGTTCCTGAAATGGATGAAATTTGCAAGAAATGACGTATTTCCGTATCTACTGAAAATGAAGTAGGTAACTAAATCACATACTTGTCAGGTTCTACAACAGGATCCAGGAGTACTTCTTGCTTGTAGAATGAAAGCATCCCTTGCTACTCTGACTAAGCAGCATCCAGTGTCCTTTGATAACAAAAGCCCAAATCCAAAAAGCTAAGAATAAATTAGCTTTTGCTTTTAAACTTCTTGGGGTTTTCTTTTCAGTGGTTAAATAGAGAATTATTTGTGCTATAAACAGTGCTGAGGAGATTCTTTGAGAAAACCTGCAGGAGCAAGCAAGTGCATATAGCATACTTGTGTTTCTTGTTTGCAACCAACACCTGCAAAAGTAGACTTTAAAGATCGAGGGGTTCCATTGATTTGTTACTTAAATGTCCCCTTCGAGTACCTCTTGGGTACCTAGAAGTATAATTTCTTTTTTTGTCACCTTGGCTTCTTCCTTCTGCTTAGAGATACGTATATCAGTTGTGAGGTTTACTTGTACATTGAAGAGACTTGATTGCTCTATAGCAAGGAGAATACTGACATTCTGTAGCAGCTATAATAGCAGCATGCTCTGTTTACCCTGCTCTGGATTTCTGTTGAAGATGTTTCATTTCATATTCTTAAGTCATACCCCGTCACGAGGTTTGTAATTGCTAATGTTGCAAACTTGGAAGCTGTGTAGGCATTGAAAGTACTTTTTTTTTTTTTTTTAAGATATTTCAAGAAAAGGCAATGCTTTTCAATCGAGATAGGTGAGGAACATTCTGCTTTGTGTTGTGATGCAAGTTTAGCTAGAAGCATTAGTATATTGCAGAATGCACCAATTGCTACTGGCTCATTGAATCATCTCCTCCAGTGAGATGTCATAATGTTGCCATCTTATTCTGTGAGGCTGGCTGTGTATTCACTGTAACATGTTGCTTAACCACACCAGTGTCTCATTTGCTACTTACATTGTCTTCAAGTACTGACAGAAGGGAAAGTGAACAACATGTATCGCATATCCTGTGCTTTTTTCCCTTATGTATAGCTTCCCACCAAATATCTGTCAAGAGTCCAGACCTTACCATTCCTGAGTCATTGATACCGCTGGATTAGGAGTAGCTCTTTGAAATGGCAATGTAATATTCTGCTTTTGTTAGAGCCCAGGGTAAAGGCAATATGAAATTTGAAGCTAAAATTGTTCCAGGTTCTAACACTGTTTTAATACTAGCTCTTTTATACTAGTTTGAGGAACTGGCTTTTGCACTTTTATATACACTTCCCAAAAGCTGTAACTGTAGAATGGTTGTATGACAGTTTGTCTTTTCATAGTTCTGCCACAGATATAGGTTGTGCATTAATCCCTCTTGCCTTTTCCCCAACATCTTGGTTCCGTTTCAGAATGAAATGCCCTCCCTTAGGGTAAAATCAGTGGAGCAATTGGCAAAGATACTTCACCATTTCCACTGGCAAGCAGCCAGTGTTTTCCAAAGCACACAGCCCAACCAGGTATAATATAATATATACAACATAACATAATACAATATAATAAAATATACTAATATTAGTATTTTAATGTAAGAGCACATTTTTTGTCTTAAGAGCTTTTATACTTCATATTGCCTTCCACAGAATCTGAAAAACAGCAGTTATTAACCCTGGAAGATTCAGTTCAGTATTGTAGGCTAGCACTTTTAGAAGGCAAATCCTCTGTGGGCAAAATAAGCTTTTTCAGCCCAGCTAACCAAAGAAAAGGGTGTTCTTCAGTAGTGACTCCCTATATTAAGACTTGAGTATTTTTCCTTGGAAATACTAAGCTTTTATTTCAGTGTATTTGTTGTGGGCTGAAAAGAAGGAACCAATATCTTGGTGTTGAGCAACTGCTTAAATTTTGCAGATGAAAGCCTATGGTATGAATACTGCCTCCCTACTGCAGCCACTGTGCTCAGAAATGCTTAAAACAAGGGATGCTGTCTTTGCTGACATGGTGGTGGTGCTTTATCCCCAAGAACTAAATGATTCTGTTGTGCCACAACAAGCATAGTTGCAGAGTGAATAAAACTGCAGGTTTACTATCGTATTTTGCTCAAGTGGAGTTTTTTTTCCTGCTCAGTCCATAGCACAGCGTAGCTGTGCTCTTGCTAGGATATTCTAAAGACTATCAGTACCCACGTACCATAAGATGTTTCAGTAGCTAAACCCATGATTTATGGGAAGTTCTTTTCCTTCAAAGAGATGAGTAACTGCTGCCTGCCTTATCCTACAGGGAGGCTTGTTCAGGCATAAATGCATTGTGTAATTTGTGTCCTCCCCCATGTAGTTGCTCTGATATTTTTAAAGTGGGAAGCTCTGCAGTGTTTGTGAACTTGGGAAACTAGTTTATTTGCTTTAGGAAAAAAAGCCCTTACTCTTGAAGTGTTTTGCCAAGGTGGGTATTTTTCTCTGCGTAAAGAAGTGTTTTTGTTTTCTTTCTCTTAATTCTGGGAGCATGGAGAAATCACCTGTGTAGATTGTGATTGTGATGGAGCAGGAACAATTGGATAATGCCAAATTTTGCAGTATAAATGTTTGCTTTGTGTCTTTTTTTTTCAAAGAGATTTGTATTACAAGAACAATTGTATACAACACTGGACAAAGTAGCATGTCTGAATACTGTTTCAGCATTCATCTTGCAATTGGAGTTCTGTGAATTACTTAAAACACAATTAAAGTTTAGGTTGAGACATTATGGTCTGCATTTTTCTTTTTTTTTAGTCTTCATCATCTTTTGGCATCCTGCCTTTTCAGCCAGCTGCACAGCATTAGTCTTGGCTCTTTATAGAGAGCTCTTAGGCTCTGGGGAACTCTGACAAGAACACGGAAGCTCAGATGTACCATATTCTGTGTTGCGAGGTAGATGTGAGCTTATCAGGAAAGCATACATCCTCAGAGGATGCTAGACCCTCTATGCAGATACCCTTGTGCTCATGATGAGTTTTTGTAATGTTTTAAAGGTATGTTCCCACCCCACTTCGAATTTTGGAGGAGTCAAATTTGAGGTTTGAGTTAGTATCTACACTGTCTATACTAGTCAGCTTGCAAGCATCCTGGTGAAAAGGTTGAACATACTGACTTTTATCAATTTAATAATACAAGGTTACTAAGGGCAAAAGGTTTTTCTACTGGGAAGGTGCTGGGAGTTGGTCAGCAGAGCGGCCTGTGTGAGTGGACCCAAATAAAATTTATATTCAGCAAAACTCACAAATGTAACATGTTAGTGTTAATCTGGAAAATGTGGCTAGCATTCTACATTATCTCATTACCTGACATTGTGAATGCTTCCTAATGTGCTTCGTGTCTTCTGTGTGTACAACAGGGTGGAAGAAAATATGAATGAGTATGCTGGTTTCAGGTGGTAGGGGATTTTTAAAGAGAAGGAAAGAGGAGACAGTAGTTGGGTGAGAAGAAATGAGGTGGAGAGAAACATACTGCATCTAAACGAAGTGCTGTATTCTTCTCCAGAGCAGGCACATTGAGGCTATTCTACTGGCAAGAAGGGCGGTTGTTATCATGCTGTTAAGACTTCAGTTGGTCTAAGGAGAGAAGTCTGACTCTGAAGAGTTAGTATGCTGCTTGACCTCATCACAAGATAATATTCTGTAGCAAATGCTGTGAAGAATGTGAATATAACAGCTTCTTGAGAAAAAAATTGGCAAGCAGGCAAGTAGAAGCAGACTGTGAGACACTTCTTACAAACTGTGCTTAGAAACCAATCTGTTCTTCTTTATTGTTCTCTGATGAAGGGATGGATTATAAATGGTACAGACAGCCTTGAGGCCTGCGATAATACAGTGTCTAGCTTTTCCAGTTGGAGGCTTAAAACCTGAATGCTTTTTATGTGAAAAAGAGTAGGAATCCACTAAAAAAAATTCCCAACTTACATGTCAAAACTTCAGCCATAGGAGCAAATAATTATTCCAGGCAGAAAGACAGATTTGTTTATTTGAAAGAACAAAATTTTAAACGTATTTACATTTCTTTCCTGCTTTGCTTATAATTTGGCTAAGATAAATGTCTGAAGTTGGAAGTATTAATAGAGAAGAGATCCCTTCCCTGTCATCTCCCCTTCAGTCTGCCCTTAAAGTGCATGCAAATTCAAACTTCCCTTACATGGCAGTACACTGAAGTCAGGTTTTTTGATATCGTTAACAGCATGTGGTTGTCTAGAACAACAAAAAGTTACATGTGTCATGTGAGTGTCATACAAGCTCAGCACACCAACGCATCGTAGATTTTTTTTATCCTGCTGAGTGTAAGCATGGAAGCAATGTTCTGCTCCATTAATAGCCCATTTGCACTCTCACAAAGTCAAATAAATGTTAGAACAAAATATGGAAGCAGGATTGGTTATTGTGCCATGGACCTTAACTGCTCTCTGCATAAGAAGTGGCCTGTGCTCTATATATGATTTTGTATCGTACAGTTGTTGACAATGATTTATATTTGCCAGCCCTGAAATCCTCTCATGACTGGTCTGATGTATGGTAAGCAGGCAGAGGAGCCGGATTCAGCCACTTGGTTTTGTTCCTTCTGCTTATCAGCTTTTCTCTGAAAGAACATCTTTCCTCTACTTGTTTTATATCAAGTGTAAGGCAAAAATCAGCGAAATTAATCGAAGTAGATCAAAATGCAGTGTGATTTTTGCGCGATAAACAAAATCGTCTTGAAGAGCTGGGTACATCAGTAGGCTGGCTAATAGGGCCATCTGCTGGCAGGTGTACTCTGGCAAGATAACTTTGAATTTTGATGGGAAAGAGTCTGGGACTGGTTAATGGCTTGACTCTTATCTTCCAAACACCCGTGATTCTTTTTAAGTTATTTTTGTAAGCGTACTTCATATTAATTTCTGGCTTCATAGCAGAACTTATTATTGTAGAAAGAGAGCTGCTTAACTATAAATTTAAGCTCCATTCACATGTTAAATGGGATGTTTGATCTGTGAGTAGTATTGCCATAGGTTATGCCATAATTTAAAGCTATTCTGAGGACATATGGCTCTGTAGATGAATCTTTAAGATCAATGAACAACGATTAATGCTAATATTCACTCTTCACACAAAATGTCTGTGTTAGGGACATTTTGATTACAATTACAGATCAGATTTCTTGTGAGCAAACAAAGAAGCCAAATGGTCTGACATACTAATATCATTACATTTCTTGTCTTTAACACTGAAAAGCCTTTTGAACATGTTTTAGGTTTATTTTCTCAGGCACTGTGTAATCAATGTTGCATCTTAAACGACAAATTTGTATTTGTGTATGTGTGCTCATGTTTGCTTGCCTGTATGTCCCATGTTTGGTGACTAGCAATATGATAAATCATAACTGAGGCTATGATCTCTCTCTCTCTTTGCAAGTTTACAGTGAGTAACATGGAATATATGTGTGTATAAGATTGAATTGAGTAAACAACACATGTAAGCATGCTTCTTGGATTTGTCTTTTGAGAACCTGCAGTTTCCTTTCAAGAAGATTCCATTACAGGAAAGGTGAAAGGTTTTTTAATGTGCATCAGTCTACACTGCTTGGCAGTGCTGGTATAACAGATCACAAGATTGTCTCTAGCCCCTGGCAAAGCAAGGTTAGTCTTGTTTCCAGTAGTGTTTAGAGCAGGACACTTAAAGCAGTATCCCTGGTCACTCGGGTGACTACAGCAAAGCAGTAGTTACTTGCTGACATAATGGCAAGGAACTACAGGCTAAAGGCACCCTCTGAGGATGCACTGATCTGACTCTATCCAAAAATCTTTCATCTTCCATCTCTGGTTTTTGTTGTCTCTAGCAGCATATACATTCCTCCCACAGAAAAAGGATGTTACAACATACTGACTATGGGCTGCTCTGACCTTTTTGACTTCTAAACAATTCCTTTTTTACTTCCTTTGACAATTCAGCAAATGAAGTGATGGAGATGAATTTCATTACAGGTGCTTTGACTGAAATTCTTTATTGCTTACTTATTAAACCTGGCTGTAAATGTCATTGATTTATAGACACCATGAAAGCACAACTGTTAGCCAGTGAGCACCAGGAGTGCTACTATATAGAAACTGTGTACAGAGAGGTGAGATTCCTTTTAGCCAAAAGACTACACAAGAGTAAAGCAACAGTATTTTTTATATTTTGTGTGGATTAGAGCTATTCTGGACCAATTCTTTTTGCTGGTAGTTCATTCTATGTTCTCACCTTTCTATTTCAGTGACTGTTTCGTTATGTGTTCTATAAGAATGGCAAAATACATTTCAGTAAATCAGGAAGGATGGATTGGACTATGGAAAGGAGGGAATAATCTTCCCTAGTCTCTGAGAAATTTGTAAGAAGATTCCTGCAGTATTGGAAAATAACTTGGCCACATGAGTAATATGGAGAGAGCTAATGAAGGTCTGATGATTGGGGTAGATGGGAGGCCAGGTGTGCTGTTGTTTCATATTTATCTCTCGCTCCTGTAAGTCTTTTGGCTAAATGCAGGAGCTCTCTAGTAAGTCTGTAATTCTTAGTAAAGTTTTGTCAAGTTCACCTGGGAAAAATTGTACTGTATTGGGAAATGACATTTTATCTGTGGAGTCCAATTTTATTTCTGATTTACTGTACTGAATTCTGGTCGGAGTTGTCTACACCTGTGGAAGTTCTTGTTTGCACAGTGATACCGGGCTGCTGCAAATGTTGCCTGCGTTGTTTGACTTTGGTGTAGCTGCCGTCTCTTCCATGTGGTGAAACCTTGTTTTGTTAGCATGGCAGTATGTAGGCTGTGGTTTTTTTTTTCTGTCTTGTGACATATTGGATGTGTGGTGTACACTGTGACTATATCAAATAAAGCACTAAGGCAGGCAACTTTTTTTTGTGAGGGTCCACAGATTCTGCACAACTGGTTCTGAGCAGGCTATTGCTCAACACATAGGCAAGAAAATGTGGCCGAACAAAGAACTGTAAGAGGGTTCTTCTGGACAAAACTACTACATTTGTACTAAAAATTGCAATGGAATACGATTTTCCTGCTGATATCCAATCCGTTTGTCATAGTCTCCAGCATTAGCTTGAGAGCAGGCAGCTCAGCTCAGGTTACGGAGAGAGGGAGGGCTCAACCGGGCCTCAGGCAGGGGCAGAGACAAAGACCATCAATCGCTGTAGGACTCTGACAGCGGCTGAGGGGGGACTGAGCTGCTTCTAGCAGCTCACCAGTGCCTCAGCATCTTTGTGCTGTGCAATTCGAATTTTTTTTTTGTTAGTTTTGGATGGTGATAAACATTTTTGTCCCTGGGAGAATGGTTTTATTTATTAACCAAAAATGAAGAGAAATAGCCTGTCCTCCTTTAATGTGTCTCTGTGGTTGCTGTTCACAACAGTGACACTTCAAGGTGAGAATGCTGCTTGATAGCTAAATGTTGCATTGAGGTTTACTTAACTCGGGAGATGGTGTCTTGATGTGTCTTGTGTGGTTGAACTCCAGAAGGCTTTCAGCTGTTTTGTTTTACTTTGTCTCACTGATGATACAGACAAAATGAATGACCATGTACAGCCAGAATTTAAATGCTTTCTGGGAAGCTTTTATTTGTCAGGATTTCTTCTTAGTCAGGAAGGTTTGCTTTGAACTCTGGTTAGTTCAGGAAGTCACTATGAGTCACCAGAGTGATATACTTCAAAGCACTTGGTTACTCTGTAGTGTCATCTGGCGTTTGTGCAAGTCTTGAGTGTTACTGTCCTCACCCTTTGCTTGCAGAAATGCGTGAATCTGTCTAAAGGTAATACAGAGACTGCCTAGAGAAACTATAATGTACAAAACTGTGAAACAGCACAACTGCTGTTTAAAACCTGAAGTTTCAGTGACATTTTCTTAGTGATCAAGTCTGGCTAGCAAGAAGGATCTCCAAATACATGGTTTAGAAAAGATGTTAGTGCAAGGATGTGTTTATACATTGTACAATTGCCAATTTGTGAAGAAAAGCAGCTCAGAGTTTTTCCAGGTAGCTAATAAATACATAAATATTTCTGAAAGTAGCATGAATCTATTAGTGCTGTATTTAGGGAGATATCGCAAGTCATTAGCCTGGGAGTAGGTTTGACTTCAGACTTTGATTCTAATTTTAGCTTGGCAGATGTGTGACTTAAGAAAATAATCTATATAATCAGTGTGTGTATATATATACATATATAATCTGTAAAAATATACCTATGAAAGACAACAGTAAAATAATGGTAATGATATTTACCTTCAAAAAGGCAGGAATCTCCGTATGCAGCTTTTTTTTTGAGTGTGAAAAACTAAAGTTAGCTATTCATTTACTACAGGTGAATGCTGTCATCAGGTATTGAATAGCTTCATCAGGTATACTTCTGTTTCTGAACTAAATGATATTCTACAGTATATGAATGACAAATATAGGAAATACCACTTTCCTACTTTAAGGTAGAGAATACTACTTAAAGCTGTAGGATGAAGGTGTCTTGTTATACTACCCAGTGCTTAATCTGATGTACTGAACAAATCTGTTATCTAGCTGTAGAATCAGCCAAAGGAAAATATGCTCACATGCTGTTTAATGAACTCTTTGAAGACTACTCAAATGCTCTAAGACCAGTGGAAGACACAGATAAAGTACTGAATGTCACTCTTCAGATCACATTATCCCAAATTAAAGATATGGTGAGTAATAGGTTTTCTAAAGATCTGCAAGAAACGTACTAGCTGTAAACCTTTTGCTTGGAGTAGGAAAAGCAACTTGTATTTTTTTGTGACAACTTCAGTAATGCTTCCTCAGGAGGGTCCAGTTCTCCCAGTACTTTGTAGATTCCTACCTGACTTCCATTGTAAGTCTGCAAACTTCAAGCTGCTGAATTGTTAACTTGTAGTTAGATGTTGGTGTCACACCCTCCAGGCAACTTTTGCTGAGTTTTAAATAAACAGAGCAAATGCTTTTTCTAAGTTGCAGTTAATTCCTACATAAATGCCCTATTTTAGCCTTCAGTAACTTTTCTATAAATTTGGTTGAGCCAGATACACTCTTAAGGCAAAAGAAAATGTGTCTGAAAGGAGAATGGAAAATCACTCTTGTGACTTCTGAATTATAACTTCAAGGCCTCACCAAGCTTTAAGAACTTGTTAGACTGAATCTGTCAGCTGCTTGGTATTCTTAAAAAGAAATTCTTAAGATACTAGGAGCTTTAGACAACTGTGATTAAAGCTAGGGAGGATGCAGGGGGAAGAAAGTTGGGCAAAAGAAAGTCAACGAGCGAGCTCAGTATAGTGTATGGGCATATGGCTGGGAAGTACTCTTGTGGCCTGTTAGTGTTCTGGCCTGTTTCGAGCACTACTTTAAAGCTGTAGAACAAATGCTGTCTGCTTCTAAGATGTGTTTTTTGTCACCTTCAGCTAGATATACTTTTACATTTTTATGCAGGATGAAAGGAACCAAATTTTGTCAGCTTACTTATGGATTCGACAAAGCTGGTATGATGCATACCTCAAATGGGACAAAGATAAATATGATGGGCTGGATTCTATCAGGATTCCAAGCAGTTTGGTTTGGAGACCAGATATTGTCCTATATAACAAGTGAGTGTGGCTGTTGAAAATCAGCTGAATATGTCTGAGGGAGGGAGGGGGTTGGGGGAGGAACTGGCACAGAGTCTGAACTTCTGTAACTGTATCTGACCTTTGCAAGGTGTGTGTGTGTTGTCTTAACGTTTGTTTCTGATAATTTAAATATTTTTCAATAAAAACCATAGGCAAGGTTTGGTAGTTGATTATGGTACACAGCAAAGCTGTTCTCTGTTTCTCTGCGCTGGGAATTGAATACCCTGGCAGCCTGAGTGCTATCTGCTGAGACTGCTGAAGAGCTCTGGAAGGTTGTCCACAAAAAGGTGGTACATGAAGGCTGCACTCCTTGTCTGCTCTTCCAGGCCACTAGTGACCAGTAGATTATTTTCATCTTTGGATGGATTCTTATCCTACTGTATCCTGTTTGAGGTCAAGTTTGAAGGCACTGTGGCCAACAAAGAGAACAAAATTTAGCAGCACTGTTGTTTGGCATTAACAGGCATTAGCACCTGTTAAAAAATAGTTAATAACAAGTTTGTACTGAAGTTCAGTAGAAATAGAAATATGTTTTCACAAGTGTGATTTTAATGGTGTGAAGTGAGGGTCTTCTGCTTTGCCCCCTCTTCCCTATCCCACACTTGAAGTTGTTGCCTGTCAATCCTGACTGTCATTTTTCTGTCTTTTAGAGCTGATGATGACTTTTCAGAGCCTGTGAACACTAATGTTGTGTTGAGATATGATGGAAAAATCACTTGGGATGCCCCTGCTATCACAAAGAGCTCATGTGTAGTGGATGTATCTTATTTTCCTTTTGATAGCCAACAGTGCAACCTTACATTTGGGTCCTGGACTTATAATGGTAATCAGGTAGACATCATCAATTCTCTTGATAGTGGTGACCTCTCTGACTTTGTAGAAGATGTGGAATGGGAGATTCATGGTATGCCAGCAGTTAAGAATGTCATCACTTATGGCTGCTGCTCTGAGCCTTATCCAGATGTGACCTTCACACTGATTTTGAAAAGGAAGTCTTCTTTCTACATATTTAATTTGTTGCTTCCTTGCATTTTGATCTCTTTCCTGGCTCCACTGGGATTCTATCTCCCTGCAGACTCTGGGGAAAAAGTGTCTCTGGGTGTTACAGTTCTTCTTGCTCTGACTGTGTTCCAGCTGATGGTTGCAGAGATCATGCCTCCCTCTGAAAATGTACCCTTGATAGGTGAGCTTTATACACTTTGTCTTTTAATATGGCTTATTAGTAGTAGAGTTGTATGTGTGATTTGTGGCTTTTGGGAAGATAAAGATATAAAGATGCTACACTCTTAAAACACAGTGAAATACTTACAATGCATGTGGAATTTGTACAAATATGCTGCAGCTCTTTAAGTTTTTGTGTTCATTTTAAATTATGTATAATTTATTTTGTATTACATGTAGTTAGACATTTAGGGTTATTTTATCATGTCTTGTAGTAAAGCTAATGATGGAAACATCAGTTTTAGAATCAGTGTATGAAGTGTAAGCAAGAAATAAGTACAAGGTCATACTGCTTCAAGACATGTTTCTGTCAAATCTAGATGGTTGGATGGCCTGGCTGGGATGCTCAGAGTTGACTTAATATCTGTCAATCATTACATTGAATTGTAATTCCTGCAATCCATTATGCTGGATTTTAACTTTTGTCTGAGAATTCAGAAGAGCTGATGTGTAGTGGAAGGGTGGTGTTCAGCACTGCCTGTTTACCTTTTGCCAGGACCTTTCCCCTGCCCTGGGCTTATCTGCCCTCTCAGAAATGAGGCTGTCTGCCTCGGAACATGGTTGCCTCCCCACTGGCTTCCAGCTTCATTAACAGAATTCAGATCTATTACTTTTATTTTCATTATTAATGTGTATACAGAAAACTACATGGCTTAACTGAGACAAAACACTGGTCAATGAATGCATTTCCCACACCAGCAGCAACTATTCCTGCCTAGAATAGCAGACCTAGCTTTAGTCTGCTTTCTCCATTACCTGACTCTCACTCAACATCCTTTCCAACCCCTTTGAAAACTGGGATCACATCATGCTTGTCTGTGGCCAGCCTTTGCTTTTCCTGCAGAGGCTGTGCAACAGTTGAGCAGGACTGGGAGCTGCCTCTGCACAGAACAGAAGCCACAGTAGGTTATCTGGAGAGCTGTGTACTGCAGTTATGAAAAGCAGTGGCTGAGTGGCACAGTTCGTACTCGCTGTGTTTATTATCTATTCCTGGACAGAGTGAACCTTGCTTTTATCTGGATTAGCCATGCTAAAATTTGCACATACAGCTAGCAAATATCAACAGGCAATGGAGCCACCTTTTAGCTCTGTGCCTGGCCTCTCAACTGTCACTATGCTAGTTATGGATACCAGCAAGGTCTGGATATTCCCTGGCCTGTGTGAGTGTGAAGGCATCCATCCGCTTGTATGGGGTGCGCCAGTAGCTCCAACAATGCATTATCACTTTCGTTAATAGTGGGAAGTGGGATTTCTTATGTGCCACCTGAAGCCATTGACATTGGGATTTTGCAGACACCAGGGAAAGAGGAGGGCTCCTGATGCACCCATTCAGAAAGCAGCTTAATGTTTATCTTGAGAAAACAGAGGGTTTCGACTTACAAATATTTACCATGCTAAAAACTTAATTATCTGAGAGGCATATAAGGTTCTGCTTTAATGACTTTAATCTTTGTTTTTAAATGGTAAATTAAGTGTGATCTATGTAGAGAGAATCAAGATGATTAAAACTAGTTTCACTTGCATTTACTTAGCACTGTGTTATATTGTTATTTCTGCATATTTTTTTTTAATTATTAGGGTAGCATTTCCAATATGATTTTGTTTTGTGTTCCAGGAAAGTATTACATAGCAACTATGACCATGATAACAGCTTCCACTGCGCTGACAATCATTATAATGAATCTCCATCACTGTGGTTCAGAAGCAAAGCCTGTTCCACAATGGGCCAGGGTGGTTATTTTGGACTACATGTCAAAAATCTTTTTTGTTTATGATGTGGGTGAAAACTGCACAAGTCCAAGAAGAGAGAAGGAAGAAGAACAGAAGAAGTTAGAGGGAGATGAAGGGTGTCAGACTAGGCACACAGAGGTAACGAGTCACCTTCCCAGCAGGAATGATGACTGTGATATCAAGGAGAAGCCCAATGGAAATTTCGATAAAAGCTATGGAGCTCATGATGACATTAATGTTAGGGAGACTGTTAATTGCTGTTCCTGTTACAAAATGCTGATTAAAAATATTGAGTATATTGCTAATTGTATTCGAGACCATAAAGCAAACCGGGCCAAAGGAATTGAGTGGAGAAAAGTTGCAAAAGTGATGGACAGGTTTTTCATGTGGATTTTCTTTATCATGGTGTTTTTTATGAGTGTGCTGATCATTGGAAAAGCAGCTTAACTGAAGATGAACATACTCCTTTTGTAAACCTGAATATACTGGGTTGGCTTGTTTTGGTGAAGCTCTGGGACAGGGCTGATTTTGAAATCTTTGTCTTGCATTCTGTAACAATAAACAAATTGATTTTGTAGGCTGTGATGGTGTGTTGAGCCATTGCTCAGTGAGGGCTTTGTTATTGACTGTCTGCCTTTTAGTGGGGGAGTGCAACCCTGATTGAGGCTGCTGGGCAAGCACTCTGCATTCCATCTTGATGGGTGTCAGCCATGACTTCAAGCTAAATGGGGTGGAGCATTGCAGTGGTGGAGCAGACAGCTTTGCAGGGAGCACTACATTCACAGGTCTGCATTTCTGCAGCTTATAATTTGACCAGCCCTTCCCCCGCCAAAGTGAATTTATGACATGGTGGCAGTTCTTGAAAATCCTGTGTTCATTCCCTCTTTCCTTTTTACCTTGTCTTCCTAACATCTTTTTTTATGGCTCTCTAATCATTGTCCTATCGTTTCATAGGCTCTACATTTCTATCTGCTGTGTCTTTCACTTCTAATACCACTGAGCTTACCGAGTATGAAAGATAAATTGATTGTCACCTCCTGCTGCTGAATATTACCCTATTGTCACTAGGGCTCCAGAAAGCCAGATTCCCAGGATAACTTGCTCACCAAGCCAGAGGGCCATTCTTGAGCCTAATAACAGGAGGGACTTCTGTCCTTCCTGAATGTCTCATTCCCTATGAGATTTGTCAAGATAGGCTTTTAAATGCTATTTGAGATTGCTTAAATATCAGGTGGTGACTTTTGTCTCTGCTCATTTTGTTGACCTTCATCAATGTTCACCCCATGTGTCCCTTGTCCACTCTTACATCCTCTTTAATACTTAAATTTTAAAGTGCTTACAGGAATGCAAAGGTTCTGTGCATTGCTTAGCACAAAAGCATGATCTTACAGTCTCATTAAAGTAGTAATCAACACTTCTTGCTCAACACCTCAGTACTTATGTGAACTTGTTTGCTGACAACACCAAAACTCCATCTCCTGTGTCTTTTTTTCCTGTTAACCCCTCAGACTGGAACTCTGGAAGATGCCTCATCTAGTAAAGTGAGAAGCTAGTACCCTAGGTGTGCCCATGGCAGATAATTTGCTTTTACAAAGCACCCTGAACTTTGAAACCACGATATTCTAGATGCAGTAGGAGGGGCAGAATGACACTGTAATGGATCACAGTCAAAAGTTCATGTGATAAAATTCACTTTCATAATTGTTGCAACTAATAGAAGCATGCCTGTGAAGGTGTAACTTATGAGTAAGGAATCAAAATGGCAAAGTGGTGCAGTTATGCCCAAATTCTTTGGAAGTAAGGTGTTTCTAATTATTATGTAAATGATGCATTGAATTGTTAATACCAGGTTTTCTTTTGTGTGGAATAATTAATGCTGTAAACTTATCTGGATTCTCATACATAATGCAAGCCTTAAAGTCTGGGTTTTAATGTAAAGCTAAACTGGGTGGCTAGCCAAGAATAAACTCAGCATGTGGAAAGTCTCATGTGTTCCCTGTATATTATCAGTTCCTAGTCAATCAGGGTAACTTTGAATTGAATAACTCCTTTAGAATACAAGCTGTTCACTTTCACTGTGCAGAAAAATGGTTGCACCCATTTACAATGGAGTTCAGGATCTGGCATTTACACTGCCTTTTTGGGGAAACTGATTTGTTCTTTGCTGTGGAAAAAAATACTGTTCCAAAAGTTGAGAGAGCAAAGTATTCAGAAAGGGAGTAAAATATTCAGCGTGAGTCTTTAGCATGGAGAATTGACGACCAAAGGCTTGTTTCTACTTTATGGGTGGCATAAAGCAGAGTTACTGTTCACTGCCTCTTCCAGTATAGGATCTAGGTACATTAAATGTACAGTGTGTATCAGTGGCGGAGTCTACGAATGTTCAAAGGCTGAGGAAGTCCTTGCACTGGGATTTGTGAATGATGAAAGGTTATATGGATTTAAACAGCTGGCAGATAAACATGAAAGCCAAATCTGTCAGCCTACTACCAGCTAGTCATGAAGTGTTGAAAGGTGGAGCAATATGTCAGGGATTCGTGACTCTGTATTCTTCAGTGTTCTTCATCCCACTAGTGGCAGCCATTGGAGACAGCTTCCAGGTTTAGACAGACCTTTAGTCTGACTCAGAATATCTTTCTAAGCAGTTCAGATTGTGCCCATGCCATTCTGTTCAAAACAAAAAACAAACTGCTGCAACTGCAGGCTTCCCATATGTAAGCTTGCAATCATAGGTGCATCGCAGGCATCTGTCATACTGGTGCTCTTCAGCATGCTGCATGCTTCAATGGTGTTGAAATCACATTTTGCACTTCCTTAGCATGTTTTATGTAAAGATGTGATTAGTTCTGAAGAGTTCTCTTCCTTACAAAGATATAATTACAATAAAGAATGCAAGCAGTAGGTGATGAGAGCCAGTAGAAGCTGGTACCTGAGCTGTTATTGTGAACCCTCATGCTAGGATCCTCAGAATCACACCTTTCGACTTGATAGTTTTCCAGGGTAAAAAAATGTGATTCTGCATGGTAATGCTTCTGGTGACAAAGTTGACCCAAGGTCCATGCTCCTTCAGCCATCCATCAGGTACCTAGTTTAAAGCTAGCTCAGGAGTTTCTAACTAAACTTTAGGGGCTGTAGTTTAAAAGTGTTCTTCCCAAAGTCTTAATGTTCAGTTTGTATGTCTCTGTATTTAGAGCAGTAAGAAAACTGCTCTAGATCAACCAAGTGTGTTACCAGTCAGAGCTATACATGACAGCTCTGGTGCTGGGTAGAGACCGGGATGTTTAATTCTGTCTGTCCTGGTCTCTTCCTCTTTCCTTTGGGCGTCTCATGCTTAGATCCAGTAATCTTTGGTGAAGATTAAATCAAGAGATGATGAATGACTATACTTACAGTAACAGAAAATTGTTTATAACTCTGCAGGCTTAACATGAAGGCAATGGGATGACTTCAGATTTACTGAGGACGACGATGCTATAAAAATACTGTTTGAGATCTGTGTGCTGCAGAGGCCTGTGAAGAATGAGCTGGCAGATTTATTTATTTTTGGTGTTGAACCACCTCTCTCCTCTTGTATTGAGTCATTGCAGTGTTTAAAATTAGGAGAAATAATAAGTTACCTCCTGCGGTGCCTTCACTGTGCTCTCTTTCATGAGCAGAATTACAGAACTGAGGTGTGATGAGATGTTGGGGTGTTGAGTTTCCAGTGGTCCAGGAAGGTAGGAGATGTCCTTAACTATCACAGGAAATCTGTTCCTGCTTTTGGAAATTGCAGCCTGAAGATTCCAGCTAAACCCAAAAGGATCATCTTGGACAGTAAATAATGTCTTCAAATAGAGAAGTGGGTTTCACAACGTTTCAGAAGTTCAGATGTTACATGATAATCTATCTGCATGTTTCATCCTCTGGTTAACAAACCTTTGTTCTCTGACTCTGCCAGAAGTACGGCAAGTGTCTGAGAGTTGTTTCTCAAGCAGCTCAGGAGTGTGGCAAGAATTCCTGATGGTGTGTCTGTGTCCCCACTGTAGTGCAATTGTTTAGGAGATGGGAAAAGGAGTGTGAGCTGAGAGGGGATTCCTTTCATTCTGTTTATAAAACTGGGAAGAATCCATCTTGTCTTACAAACTTTTGTTACTTGTTGAAGAAAATACGTTGATTCTTCTTAAAATCTTTTTCATTAGTGACAGGATAAAGTTTCAAAGGTGGCCTATGAAGTTTGTATGCAACAACCTCCTTTGTACTTGCAGGCAGAGTTACCTAGAGCTCAATTAAAAGAAGAGAACAAGGTGAATGTCTTTTCTCTGTTTTCACTGTTTCTGAAGTCCACTAATAAGGAGAAATCTGTGTTAGAGACAAGTCCAGCTGAGTGGAAGGGACAGGAAGGGAGCAGAGGAGTTTGTATCTCGCTTGTGCTGTGCAAATTAGAGCTTTATATTCTCCAGACACCTTTTAAGACCTCTATTCTGTAAGGGGGCAGTGAACAATACTGTTTTTACATTACTGGCCATAAGGAATAACTGAAATTGCAAGTACCCAGCTCAGGTTCATTCTTACCTCTGTAAATATTTTTGTGCATTCAATTGCTACTCTGTAGGCCACAGACTACTGAAGGTCTGCAAGGGCTACCAGGAATATGCTGCAATTGTTCTGTCAAGCTGTGCTGGTTTAATCCATCCTTCCATGTAGCTATATTTGGAGCTCAAACAACCTCACAAGCTGTCCAGTTCAGCCACTCGGGTGGGCAAGAGGGGCAATGAATTTATCAAAGTGTTTATTGTGCTAGTACTCCTTTGAATCTTGCAAGCTGTATTAGCTCCTGGGAGCTGTCGGGAGCACAAGGTGCTCCCAGGTCTCTTTGCCACAAAAGTTAGGTGCTGCAGCCTGCCTCCTTGTTACCTGTCATGCCTGTTCTTGGTCATGCGGGGTCCTGAGTTGCTTTGGCTGGCTGTGACACTGCTGCACCTCCAAACATAGTTCTAGCCATTGTATTTTCGAAGGGGAAGCCAGGGATACCTTTGCAATGGGTTGAAATAAAATACATTAACAGAGGGAGGATGTCAGTTGATGGGGAGTGTAGTAGGGTGGAGAATGTGGTCTAATTCAGATGCAGTTTTTGCACAGAACTCTTATGTTTCCTCTTGACTACTTCATAGCTTGAGGCTCCTTCTGGCAGCCATGCATATCCAACTCATTTTCTGTCCAGCTCACCTGATTTCTCACGAACTTGGTAAATGTGCTTCCTCCACAGGAGGCCTGGCATGGTTCAGAGGCATTCCAATGTATCCTGTGTCCTGCACTTTTGTTTAGCATGTCAGCATTCTAGGTGGCTGCTGATATCTGAGGTGAATGTGTTGCTTTTATCTAATGTTTTCAGCAAACTGGAAACTGAATGATGATCATAAGACTATCTCTTTCCTCATAGCTTAAGGATGGGAGCTATTCATAAAACCTTGATACTGAGATCACAAAGCCAAGGGTAAACCGGCTTCTCACCCCCTTGTATTGAACCAGTAGCGTACTGCAAGTGAGCTCTGGGCTATGTTCTGATATGGGCAAAACCGAGTCACCTTCAGGTGAGCTGCCTTAGTTCTGTGTTTGATTGCCACATTCACTGCCCTGCAGAGGTTTTTTGAGCCATAACAAAGAGGGTTTCTCAACACCATGGTGCAAAGTGGAGCGGGCTGGACAAGTGCGTGTTTGGCACAGCACCCTTGAGCTGCATGAATTCTCAGGAGTGCTTCCAGCCAGCAAGTGCTGTGTCCCCGGGAGCATTCCACTGGGACCCTGGATTCCTGAGGCATCAGCAGCAAACCAGCCCGGAGGTTCTGCCCCCAGCGGTGAAGAGGG